CGGAGGAGGAGGAGGCCGCGGCCCAACCGGTGCTCGGCGCCTCCCCGGGCCCCGCTGCGGCGGGGGGCGGCCGGCGGCGGGCGCTGAACGGCTGCGTGCCGCTGTCGCACCAGGTGGCCGGGCACATGTACGGCAAGGATAAAGGCGGTGAGCGGCGGCGGGCGCGGGGAGCGGGCGGCGGGCGGGGTCGGGCCACCTGCGAGGGGATTCCCCCCACCGCGCCCTCCGTTCACCTGGGCTCTCACAGACCGGCTGTGCCGGGGCGAATCTGGCTTCGATTCTCCTCACGCCCCGCCGGCGGGGCGAGGGTCGGTGCGGGCGGGAGGGGCCGCGGCGGCGCCGGGCAGGGCAGGCAGGGCAGGCAGGGCTCGCCGGCTCCGCTCGCCCCTGTCCGCCGGCGGGTGCTGCGGTGTCCGTGTTGGGGCCCGGGGCCATCGCAGGGCCGAGGGGCCGAGGCCTCCCTGCGAGGGGAGGGAGGGGTGATTCAAGTAACAGCATGCTAGTACCCTCAGAACATATATAATGGGAAACATATATAGAGGGAACTCCGAAACCTGTGGCCACCAGAAACTCCAGCAAAATATTAGTAAGCAATTGTTAGTTGATGATTTGATGATCAGTCTGAAGCAATGGATAGTAAGCAGTCTAATAATACAAATACCCTGAGGATACAGCATTTTTAAGTATACCTCCACTAGCTCTAAATTTATATTTTAATTTATTTCCACCTTGAGGTGTTGGCAGTCCTCAGGAAGGGGCCTTTTGAAATAGACAGTGGTCGGTGCCGAAGCGAGAGGTCAAGTTAATGTTGCCAAATGGCATTTCTCACCCTTCCAGGACATCACATTTGCTGTACTCTGAGCCGGGTGGAAGGTACACAATCATTCAACTCCCAGTGTGCACTTTGAGAGTAGCTGTAACAAGTATTTGCTGTCATATTGCCTTTGAACCCTGTCAGTAGGAACCACCCCTGCTGAATAGGCCAAGGGCTGAATTTCAGAACCCACTCAACCATCAGTGAGTGATATTACAGCACTAATGGTACTGTAAGTTTGTCTTATCTACAGCCTGCATCCATGGTGTGTCTTGCTGCTGATAATCTGGACAGAAAAGTCATTCTTCTCCTTTGCCCTGCCAAGGGCTGAACTTCAGAACCCTTTCAATTATCAGTGAATGGAATTAGAGCACTAAGGGAATTCTGAGTTTGTCTTATCTACAGCCGGTGCCCATGCCATGTCTTGCTGCTGATAACCACAGAAAAGTAATTCTTGTTCCTTGCCCCTGCTGCAGCTGGTGCATTAAAATGTTGATGGAAGTGTGTTGGATCCTTGAAGCTGTATGTCTGTCTTATTCATGTATCATAACGTGAGGTGGGATCAGGCAAAAAAGGCTCACTGCAGGGGGAGTTTTGTCTTTTGCACATCAGTTTTATTACTGTTGGATTGAACAGCGCAGGTGATCATATTGTGAGGGCCAACTCGAATGGATTAGGTAAAGCTGACTCCACTACATCTCATGGACAAGACCAAGATTTTCCTGCAGAGGTACCACCGTGGTCGATGATCTCATCTTAGAAATTTTATGTTGGAGATCAAAGCTGCTCTGGTACTCACAGCTCTCTCATTTTTGTAACTTGACGTTCTATCCCCACATACAAACACTCAGAGGACTTAAAGGTATCCAAAGTATTTTTAACTGTTTTATTTTTTTTCTTTAGTTAAAGTACACTTTAATTTTTTTTTTTGCCATAGGGTTTCCTCCTCCTGAATAACCTTTCCATTTTTCCTTTGTTCTCTGTGACTGTTACTGCCTTGCAAAGAAAGGCCTCTCACAGCCTCCCTCTACATGCCCATGTAGACATTTGGCTTTTGGACACTGTGACTGGCCTTTTGTTGAATGCTGTGTGCAGTAGCGCTTCCCCCAGATAAATTGTGTGTATTAAGTATAGTAACCACCTTGGGTTGTGGCTTAATTCCATAGGCGAGTAGGAATTAAGAGACAGGACCTGATGGGATATGCCACCTTATAGGACCTCCCACTGCGCTTTGGTGCCTATAACTTCACAGTACTGGGGGTTCCCAAGCCACTAGTGGGATTCTGTAGGTAAAGGAGCCATTCTCCTTCAGAGTTACTTGCTTGCTCATGCAGATCACAAACCTAACTCTGGCTGCTGTTTTCCTGATGCTTAGGTTAAGATGGCTCATACATACTGGTCTGTCCTTATTAGATACCCTTAGAGGACAGAGGATCTTCTCTAAAGTAAATGTTTGACATATTTGTGCCAAGCAGGTTTTGTCTATAGTTCAGTGAAGCACGTGGATTGTTTGAGATTGTTTTCTTTAGAAGAGTACATACAACTGCATTGGTTATTTTTGCAGCAGCTTTGTGTTTCAGAATGGTAACAAGCTTTGCAGGCACAAAGAGAAATGTTAGTGAGATATTTCAGGATTTTATTTTCTGTATAGTTCTGCTGCTGCTTTAGAAATGTTAAGTTGGTTATCCATGTACAATACTACTCCCTATCTGTGCTGAAAAACCCCAGGAAGCCTGGGGTTGGCCAATCCATGGCCAACATTGTTATGTTACTATGATCTGCAGATGATGGTATCTCTGCTTGTTGTAAACTCCATAATCTTCCCTATGATCTACAATAACATCTTCGTGGTGAGTGTTGTAATGTGACTGGTTTCTGGGCCTGCCCTGGTCACAGTGACTGAGTAGGTGCTCGAGTCTCTTAAGAAATGCAGAGAATGAGGAACCTTTTGCATCAGTTTATATTAAACTCTTCAAGTAATATGGATCAGTGCAGTAGTGTATGGATCCTATTTCCAGGAATCTTTGTCTGGTCTTTCTATCTTGTAGGTTGTCTACTTGTCTTATCATCAAAGCCAAAATGCAGATTTTGAGGAGTATGTGTTATAAAACCTGTTTTAATGTTGTGATTGTTAACAGTTTGCATGCAGAACACGTGCTGTTCAAATACTTGGTGCACTTTGCAGAGTGGTTTCCAGCACATGCAGAAGGGTGAGGGGGACACAAGCTATTGTGTCTTGAAGATGTTGTGGTAGTCAGCACATTATTATTATGTGGCAGTATTTTTCCTGTTTTGGAAAGTATACAAAATCCAACTTTGAGCAAGAAACATGACTTGAGAGCTGTTTTATGCAAACTTTAAAAGCCACTCTTAGGTATAACCAACTACTGAAACAACTATTCTACATCTGGTGGTTGTTTTAACGTAAATATCTTGGTCTCTAAAGATTTTATTTAGTTTCCAGGGCTGCACAACAGAGCCCATTCATAGATAATGTTTTTTAAAAGATGAAAACACAATTGCTGTTACAGCTGCAAACTCTCTTTGGGACACAAAGCTCCTGGCTCGTTTTTCTGTTTTTTCAAGCAGTAAGCTGAAAGTGCAACCTATTTTGGATATGGATGACATTTTTGCTTCCCTTCTAAACAAAATAGATTACTGTCTGAAAAGCTCCAAATAAATCCCAGGAAAAAAAAATTTCCAGAAGTGGGTTTTCCTTTTTCCCTTGCAACTGATGATGTTGAAACTTGGTGCACATTTCAGAGGATTGTAGTTACTTTTCTCCATTCTTGCCTGCATCCATCTCTTCAGTACCCTTGGATACTCAGTTGCATGTCTTATGCAGCTACTTAGAAATATTGATGACTGGAAAGTCATTAAAGCTGTTTCAAGAGGATATTTTCGAGGGTTTTTTTGTGCAGGCATGGTGAAGGTGAAATTCTGTACTGTAATTATGGGTGATACAAATAGCATGGAGTGCTGTACTTTATTCTAGTAATAAAGACATACTCTTTCCGTGCCACTAGTACAGATGTACATCCACACGACATTTATTTCTGTTTTAATAGTAAGAAATGCATTAAATGTGATACTCTTTTAACTTCCTGGCATTGTTGGAAAAATAATTTATGAGTTATTTTAAAAGGGAGTGTTTATGCAATCTTAATGGTGGGGTTTTGGGGGTGGAACTTTTAATGTCAAATTCCATTACTGTGTTGGCCTTGAGCAGAATAAGACCCAGAAAATCATCCAATGGCTAGAAATAGAGGAGTGCAAGCAAACCTCTGCAAAGGGTCATGTGTAGGGACTGATAATTTTGACTCTCCTGTCTGTGCACTGGAAGCAGTACAGCTTTTCAAATAGGCTGCCCTCGGTGGTGAATTCACTATTCCTGGGGGGAAAAAGAAAGGCCATACCTCTTAAAACTAAGCCCTGAAGGAAATGTTTCTCTTCTAGGCATACTGCAGCATCCAGATGGGACTGTCCTGAAGCAGTTGCAGCCACCACCTCGTGGTCCCAGGGAGCAGGAGTTCTACAATAAGGTGAGGGTCCTGCAGTGCAGGGGGAGGTGGTTTGCTGCAGGTGAAACGCTGGGTGGGCTTCCTGTAGGAGCACATGCTTATCATTGCAGTTGGGAAAGTGCAACCTAAATATCAGAATGCTGTGCCACCAACAGCCCTGCCATGGTGTCTGTGTGCTGTCTAGAACTTTCTCCTCTTTGCATGTCAGTCCCCATGCCAGACCTACTTCACTCTTGGATTTAAGCTTGCTTGTTTGTTCATGGGACAGCGGAGTTTTCACAGCATCTAAGATTTATTGAAAAGCCTTGTCTTCCATCTATGATTAAAGGGTTGTATGTTTGATCCCAACTTTCTCGTATAGCTGAGTGTCTCAATTGCTGACATTTAAATTTAGATGTTTTCTACTTTAGTCTGGCTTAACTGCTAGCAGTATTGTTCTCGTCACTGTATTAAAACTCAGCTCCTTTAAAATGAAATAAAAAGCAAAACTCTCCAGTTGTTTTAACTTTAGTTGTTGTATTTTTCCTATTGCTCATCTTCAATTTGCTTTATCAGTAACTTTAACAACACCAGACCAGGAAAGCTGTTGCTTGTTGTCTTGTGGAAGTAAACTGTTTTTAGAGCCTGTACTGTCCTACCTGCCTGTGATAGTCTGTCACATTTTTTTTTCTGTATCAGACTGATATGCCATCTCTCTCCATGGCTTACTAGGTATGAAGAACTGTATAAATCTTCATGCAGGGTGAGAGAGGTCCCTCTTTTTGTTGATGGTTTTGATTTGAGTTTTGTTTGGTTTTGTTGTTTTTTTTTCCGTAAAAGGGTATTAATTTAAGTTATCAAAAGATCTTGCATATTTTGTGGAACTGTCTCACATGAGAACAAACTAAGCAAGGTGCTTTAAGCAAACTGTGTGTTTTGTACTAGCATTACTTAAGAATTCTCATGATGGAACAGAACAGCAGCTCTTGAGTTAGGAGGAGCCAGTTAAATCTAAATGTAAATATATTTCTGAGGTTTCTCAATGACTGTCATTGAGATGAGGTTAAGAAAGATGCCGTCCAGCCTGAATGGTAACTCTTCAGTAAAAGGAGAAAGCTTTAACAGACTTCTTTGGGTGCCAGACTGTTCTCTGAAATCCTGAGGCACAGACAGTAACATGCTAACCCTGTCTAAAGCCAGCAGGTAAGAGGGGTGAGCTCAGGCTTTGCTTGGACATACACCTTTCACAGCAGAGACTTTATCATTTTGCCTATTTAAGCTTAGACTCACGTGACAAGCTGTGAGCAAGACCCTGGACAAAGTCTTTGAGAAAGTGGTCTGTGTTAGTGCCCTTGTTACTGCACTGTGAAGAAGTCAGGTCTCAATGCTAGTAACTTGCAAAGTTAACTTCAATTCTTCTAAAGCTGGGTTGCTTCTAACACTGAAATGTCTTGGAAAGGAGTTGAGCAACTCTTGAAAAGTAACAGAGAAAGGGATGATGAGCTTTGCATGGACTAGAATGCATTTTTGTGGGAGGAGGGAAGGAAAGCAAATGCATGTGTGTCATGTAGGTGAACACAGGAGAAAGGTCTTGGGGATTTGTCGCTTCTCAACGATTAACTGCAATCATGTTTACTGTCAGACAAGAGCCATGTGATGTGGGCTATAGACAGCTGATCACTACATATGGTTGTTACAGGATGAGGTTTACTGTGGATTGGGAGGTTTAGGGTAAGGCACAGTTTCATATACAGCTTGAGCTGATCCATTAGCTCTCGTTGCTGCCACGATGGAAATTCCTTCCTTCCCATTTCTACCATTTAACCTTGTACTGTGATGGTGCTTTTAGGACATCGATGAACCGATCTGACCTATTTAAAAGATGGCAAAACTTCCTTGTCTTGGTAGTCTTCTGCCAGTTTTTGTGACTAAACTGATAAGCAATGGGAACAATAGTGAGACTGTCCTGCTTTGGTGACTGAGTTTAACCCAGTTGTGGGCTATAATCAAAAAGAGGTTATCACCTTGGAGTAGGCTGATGAGCCTCCAGAGAAGGGGGGAAGGAGAATATTACCACTGCTTGAGGCAGGGAGTTGTTTACAAAGTGATCAGGTACAGGAGATGGTGAGAAACAGTGCAGAAATGAAGTAAGTGAAACAAGACTGAGTCCCAGGCTCTCACTTTGTCAGGGCTAGACAGCAGGTCAGTTGATAAGATCAAACCAGAAGGTTGTCCAGTAGTACATGTGGATTAATTGTGATTTTTTTCTCTCTCCATTTCTGCCCCTGTTTTTTCATATGTCTTAGAACTGTTTGTTCTGTAGTGGTAGATCAGTTACTGCTCCCTTTGTATGCCACCTTACGCTGTCCTGAATGAAGATTAGTACCCCAGAACCTGGGTCAGAAACAAGTGGGGTACCTTTACTTACAGTAAAGCAAACCTTGTGTGAAGTAACTGAGAAGCTCTGTAGTTTATGGTGGCAAGAAGATGAGCATGTCTCAGTTTCAGCTGCATGAGTCAGCTGGAGAGCAGCTATCACAGATCTGAAGCAGAAGTGTCTTCCAGGAACCAGGAAGTGGTAATTTCAGCAGGCAGTCAGTGCTTGTGAGCTGAAGGCTGCAGGGAATGTGTCATCATAGAAGATAATGAGGCATTAAGAGACAACTTTGACTAGAACTCTGATATATTTAACGTGATACCAGGTAGATATTATCTTCTGTTTAGACCAAGAAAATCTTCTCTTCTGAAACTGCTGGATTTGCTTGCAGCTGGATGTGTGAACATGACAGAGGTAAAAGTCTGCATCAGTGAATCGCCAGAAGTTTTTCCCATGGTTATTGATGGGTTATTTTCTGTTGAACATGAAGCTGAATACTTACTGGTAGAGCCCAAACAAAATGGGCTTCCATTTTGGAATGGAAACTTGAACAAGACACTGTAGTGCAAATACTAATAGTGATCCAAAACCTGCTCAGAAGAGGGTGGCAGCTGGAGGGTTGGAAGAATTTCAGAGGTCTCTACCAAAGTGGAAAACTGGGAAATCTCTCAAGTAATTCCTACTCAGTCTGCTGCCAGGTTACCTTTCTGCTTTTGTCATAGTATATTTTCAGTTTAGCCGTTAAAAAACCAAACCAACTAACCAACCCACCCTCTAAGTACAGGTCTTTTTTCTTAAGAGATTAATTCACTGAGTAAATCAAATTTTTACCTCTGCTGCTGATGGGGAAGGGGCTTGCCATGACTCTGTGTTATGAGGAAGGGGAAGAATTGAGCATGACAAGATTATCGTGAATACCTTTATGATAAAATGTAGTAGAACAATGAGCTGTTTGTAGTTGTTGTTAATAACTTACTGTGCATTGCTTAACTTATCATTGGAGTGTGACTTTCTAGCTGCAATGTCCACTTGCTATTGAGTTCTGCAAATCTGAGTAATTATAAAATTATTAAAAAATTATTAAAAATTATATTATTATAATTTTAATTTTGTTCTTGCAAACTCCCTTGCTGTACCTGAGGGCATGAACCCCTTACAAACACTACCTGCATAAACACAGAGTGTTTTAGCAGGTATTCTAGTACCCTTATCTGGGTGAAAGAAATTGGAGTTTTTTTAAGCTTGAATAACTACAAAATACTTTGTTTTCAATAGGTCTGAGCAGCAAGAGAACGAAACAAATTGAAGTAAAAGGGTTGTGGTTTTTTAAGGACTATCTACACTGCTGATCAGTTGATTCTATCTAATGTCAGTGCTCTGTTAGAACATGTAGGTGGGGACACTCCACCTTTGAAGGGGGCTTCAGGGGGGAGCAGTATACAGAGATGTGGGAACAGGGAAATAGTGTTGTTTGAAAATGTAGTAGAGACCCTTTTCAATTAAAGAGAATAAATTGGTAAAAGGCAATTTATGTGTGTTTATGGTAGGCTGCCTACACAAGCATGCAAAGAAATCCACGGAAGTGAGCTGCTCCTCAGTGTGTTTTGGAATTTGGCCTCAGTGTGCTTTATGCCAGGGCCTGTTTATCTGTGCTGAAATGGTCTGATTTAGTTCAGCAGTGTTGGGAGAGGGAGGAAGCCTATTAGGCCTCCTACAGTGATCTCGTGGCAGATGAGTTGGAACTGTGAGAACAGCATCCTTTGCAAAGGTTAGTACAGGTGAATTAGGTAAACCCCTTGCTTAACTGGGTATGGAGCTCCTGTCTCAGCCATGCTGGGCTGTGCCCAGGAGCACTCTGTGCTGGCATAGCTCTCCCTGTCTAAAAGGCTGTCCTCTTCAGCACAGGGCTCTCCTTAGTTTATGGTGTCAAAAATGTAGCATTGCAGAAACTGCTCTCCTGTTGGTGCTCTGCAGAGGGGGAGGAAGCTGGAATGTCAGGCTTTAAAGAGGGGCAGCTGCTTTTGTGGCACAAAAGGAAAGGGACTGGGCTGCAAGGAGGGCTTACCCCTCTGCCCTGCTCTGTTGAGACCCTACCTGCAGTGCTGCATCCAGCTCTGGAGTCCCCAGTGCAGGAAGGACCTGTTGGACCAAGGCCACCAAGATGATTAGAGGAGCACCTCTGCTATGAGGAAAGGCTTAGAGAATTGGGATTGTTCAGCCTGCAGAAGAGAAGGCTTTGGGGTCACCTTAGAGCCTCTTCCAGTGCTTAAAGAGATTCCAAGAGAGCTGGAGAGGGACTTTGGATAAGGGCATGGAGTGACAGGACAAGGGGAATGGCTTCACACTGACCAAGGGCAGGGTTAGAGTCAGTACTGGGAGGAAATTTTTCCCTGTGAGGGTGGTTATTCTATGAAAACTGATGAAGAGGGAATTTACAGTGGTTGAGGTTACCTTTGTGACTACATTTTCCTACAAGCTGTTAAACACTAAGAGATGGAGTGTTTCCTATGTTCAGCAGAACAAGAGAAGGTGGCTGAAGTGTTTTGAAGTGGCAGCTCTTTCACTTCTGATCCTGGCTTTGGTGGGGCTGTAAACCTTTTACTGTGTGATCTGAGCATGGCCTACTGAAGTTTTCGAGGTTGCTAATGCAACAGCTAATAAACTGAGATTTAATGCTTCACAGATCCATAAATGTTCCTGTAAACTTTTATTTGAATTGCACTTCTGCTCTCCTGTGGTGACTGTGTGATACTTGGAGTATGAGTAGTGCACCTTTCCCCCTTATGCTGCCTGCCAAAAACTGTCCTGAGAAAGCTCTTGCAGCATGGACAACTTCCTTTTTCTTTCTTTCCCCACCATCCCCCAACCCCCACCCTGCTCCTGTTTGCTGTGTGTCAAAATTGTCATAGCTGGTTTTAGTGGTGTTGCCATGTCATGGCTCCAAATAATATATAATTGCAATAGTATAAGGTTTCCAAGGCTGTTGTAATGCAAGTCTTACCTGAATTCTCAGATACTCTTGTCCCAAGTGCAAGGGTAATTTTGGGGGATTGGAATAAAAAGGTGGACAGGGTTTTCCTAGTCCCAGCTCAACTCTGGCAACCTCCTACCTCTGGCCAGTGCTTGTGAACCAAGGGAGCTGGTTGACCCCGTGTAGCATTGTGAAAAGATAATTGAGCTAATCACCTGGCCCTTCTGGATAACAGATCTTCCACCCTTTGCCATTAAGTAATGGATCTGTTAACTGCTGTAGTGGTATTCCAAGTTCAGGGTTTGAGCCCTGCTGACATCAAATGTGAATGCAAGGAAGCTGTTGCCACTGGAGATAACAGAAAATGTTTTTCACTTTTGTTACGTGTCCTGAAAACAAAGCCAGGATGTAAGAGACACAAATAGCTCCAGCACGTAAAAGAGATTTACACTGGTTAGGTGAGAGTTAGGCTCTTGAAAGCTAGGAACGAATGGTTTCATGGTTGCCTATGCAGTTGTTCTGAACTTTTCTTGGATGCATTGTAATGCAGCTTTCAAAAGGGCCACGGCCTGTCTTTCTCTTTTGCTTCCCCTAAAGAATGCACTAACTCATTTTACAGCCTGACACAAGGCAGAATGAATATTGCTTGTGGAGCTTTTGCTGACTCCTTTGTAACAGTTAGTCTTTGAGTTTGTGACTGGAGACTAACGTGTTAGTGGAGACCCAGTTGTGTTAATGTTCCCAAAGCCACAGTTCCTTGTGCTTCTGTGGTTACAGAGAAGAAATGTTCTTTTCTACAGTGTCTAATTTTAATTAGTATTCCAGCAGCTTCAGGCAGTACAGAAGACTTGTGGTGACTTCCCTCCCCCTCCATGGCAAAAAATCAAGCCAGCAGCCTGAAAGATGGATTTTGGCCTAGAAGCTTTTGCACAGAGTTGCAGGAACTGACTCCTGAGGCTCAGCCCCCTTTCAGCCTACATAGCACAAATCACAGTCAGGCAGCCTGTGTTCTGCTCTGCTAGTGACGGAAAAGGAAAGGGATTGGGGAGGCAAAATACGTCTTGTGTCAGGTTGAATTACCCTATTTTGTAAACTCCGTTAACTGGTTTTATAGTCTTGATTTAGATGATTTTCCTTGGCTGAAAAAGGAGTGGATGATGGCATCATGCTGCTATTGTGTACTAAAATATCATTATCATGTGATCATGTCTCCAGCTAAGGTTCTGATTTTCAGTCTTGTATGGACAAAAAAATAGGATGCACGATTTTCTTACCATCTTATTTTGGAGATGCAATGCCTCACCCATGCCTTTTATTACTACCACATTCAGAGCTGTAGCTCAGTCTCCCAAAAGGTCATCCTCAGCCTTGCCTCATTCTGGTACATCCAGATCTGCCTCATCATCAGCAGAGACAGTGGTACTGAAGTGTACAAATTACCTGTTGGCAAACATAGCAAGCACGTCCTGATACAGTCCATTCCTGCACTTGGCATTAGTCCTTCTGCTGTGAAACTGTCTAGAAATGATCCTGTTTTGCTGGGGAAATAGGCAACCTTAAGTTCCCAAATGAGCACGTGACATTGCCTCACACTCTAAACCATGAGCCAGGGTAGAAGTATTGTAGTAAAAGGAAGGGCACACAGTATTTCTTAACTAATGAGAACAAAATGGCTTTTTTGACCAAGTTGTGAAATACTGGCAACTGGTATTCAGATCTTTTTCATATGAGGAGTTGTCTAAGAGAGATGAAGCATGGGGTGGAACTGTAAGAATCTGCTGAGTTCGTACTATTGTCTTATAAACATGTTTTTTGTTCTTCACTATTAAATGACTGAAAGCTGACTGTGCCAGGACAGTAAGACTTAAAAAGTATGACCTTTTTTTGATTCTTGCACTCTGCAGCAAAAACGATGCCAGTAGTAGGTTAACCTAGAAGGGTATGGGAGCTCCTTGAGGATTGTGTACCACAGAATCAACTACAACGTGCTTTAATACATCAAAGAAACCCTCATAAATGGAGACAGTAAAAGGCCATTATTGCAATTTGATGCTATCGTGGAACTGCTGGGTGGGGTTAGTAACAGCCTGAGTAGCCTACAGTCCATGTCATTCAAGTAAGTGGGGGAAAAAATCCAGTTCTCTTAGCAACCTCATTTTGAGGAAGGTTTGTTCCTGAAAGTAGACCTGGCTGAAAATTAAGCAAAAATGCAGTTTTAAAGTGCACAATATGTTAAATTGAATTAAGATACATTCATTTATGAATGTGTCAGAATATGGATCCACTTACTAAATACATGTTAGTGTTGCACAGAAAAAACTGTATTCGTTATAAGTTCATTTAAAGGTAAGATACAGTTGGTGAGCTGCCAGTATGGGATTGAGGAAAGTGTAGGTTGCCTCCTTGAAAGAAAAGCAAAATAAATTTAGTCTCCAAAAAGAAT